TAGCATAAATGAGCTAATAAGCATGTGTACAATATATGGACTTCATTGTCATTGTTTATCTATAAAGCCTAAAAATGATGCAATGCAACATTGTAAATCATCATTTGAAAGACTACACATTAATTCATGAGAAGATATTCCATGTAGATGTAGTATAATTAGCCTAATTAGCATATAAACTGTATGTGCAATATGTAATAATGCTGCTAATCTTAATCCAGGAAGACTGAAAACATGGATAATATGACTTTTCCGGGGTTTTCCATGATAAGGGATTCATTTGTGACACCAGTTTTTATTTTTTAAGTAATGCAATTGGATTAATTTATATGTAATTATTGTACTAATAAGCCTTATTAGCATATTTGTAGAATATCAATTATTTTGGACTATACTGAGTTTCACAAATTGTATGTCCAATGTGGTGGTTATCTTGGTCGCAAGGCAATATTGTCAAACCTCATGAAATGTCGAGGAAATGACGGGGTCATCATACGCATTGATGGTTGGGCTCCAGTCATTGGATTTAGAGAGACTATCGGAAACACACTGAAGATGGTTAAAGCAGATGATAATGATGACATTGATGATGTGTTGAGACAGGTACGTACATAGGCCAGGGATGTTGAATACAATAATGCAAACTATGATCGTCTATGTTTACCAAAGCCAGAACCATTGAGAGTACAAGCCCGACGTTGCTCAAGCTTGTGGCAAAATTCCGGAAAAGTCATATTATCCATGTTTTCAGGCTTCCTGGATTAAGATTAGCAACTTTATTACATATTGCACATGTATGCTTAATAGTTTATTATGCTACTTAGGCTGATTATACTACATCTACATGGAATATCTTCTCATGAATTAATGATTAGTCTTTCAAAAGTGATTTACAGTGTTGCATTGCACCATTTTAGGCTTTATAGATAAACAATGACAATGAAGTCCATTTATTGTACACATGCTTATTAGCTCATTATGATAATTATGCTATTTAAGACAAATGCATTACTTGGAATAAAAAACTGGTGTCATAAATGAATTCCTCACCATAGAAAACCCTTGAAAAGTCGTATTATCCATGTTTTCAGGCTTCTTGGATTAAGATTAGCAAATTTATTACATATTGCACATGTATGCTTAATAGTTTATTATGCTAATTAGGGTAATTATACTACATCTACATGAAATTTCTTCTCATGAATTAATGATTAGTCATTCAAAAGTAATTTGCAATGTTGTATTGCACCATGCTGGGCTTTATAGATAAACAATGACAATGAAGTCCATGTATTGTACACATTGTTATTAGCTCATTATGCTAATTATGCTATGTAAGACAATTGCATTACTTGGAATAAAAAAAACAGGTGTCAAAAATGAATTCCTCACCATAGAAAACCCTTGAAAAGTCGTATTATCCATGTTTTCAGGCTTTCTGGATTGAGATTAGCAACATTATTACGTATTGCACATATGCTAATTAGATGATTATGCTAACATGGCTATAAAAAAAGTTGCCCAAGGTTGCCAAGCTGGCAACCAAGCTGAATTTGCTTTAATACCCATCTAGAATACAAATCAACAAAAAAACCTTGTACTTAACAACTTTTCCAGGTCTGAAAAAACTTCTACAGGACTATAGGAAAATCTGATCATCTAAATGTTCATTTACTGCCGAAATACAAACACTTAATGAAACGAGAGAAGGTGCAGGTTAAGAAAGTGAAAATATGGGTGGAGATTGCAATGGAGAATCTTCAAACCTGTTTCGATTTAACTGTTAATTTCGATGAAGCGGTGGAAGTTGTGAATGGTTACATATTATTGTGTCAATATTTATACAAATGTCAAAATATTTCCGAATAAAACACCCTGGGTTACGAAACAGGTAAAATATTTGTTGGAGAAAAAGAGAATTTCTCTTTTGAGAAACGACGAGAATGATATTAAACATTTGAACAACGAAATTAAGACAGAAACAGAAGAATCGAAAAGTGTTTACAAGGAAAAACTTTAAGATGCATTCCGAACAAAATAATGATACTAAAAATGCATGGAAATGTATGCAAACAATGACAGGGTGCAAACAAAAAATACTACCCCAGATTTTGTAGGAAGTAATTTGGATGACACTCCAAACGAGTGGAACAGATTCTATGCCGTTTTCATACTCGCCCCCAATTAGTTGTCAGCTAACAAATGTTGTGAAATATTTCTAGAGAACCGACCCTAGAAAAGCAATGGGACCCGATTATATTTGTGGAAAATCGTTAAAGTTTGTGCAAATGACTGCGTTGTGAAATATGCCGATGATACGGCGATAGTGGGTCTCATAAGTAAAGATGAGGTAAATTATCGATACGAGGTAAACAAGTTTAAAGAGTGGTGCAACCAAAACTTTCTTCAACTTGATACTTCCAAAGCAAAAGAAATGGTTTTTGATTTCAGAACTTCCACACGTTCAGTTTTATTACCTATCACGATAAAAGAAGAAAATATAGAATTTGTCGAGTCATACAAGTGTCTAGGCACCGTAATTGACAACAAATTTTCATGGGCTGATCATTGTAAGTCCGTTCTTTCAAAGGCTCAACAAATGATGTATTTTTTAAGAAAACTAAAATCGTTTCATGTACACTTTTGGTCATAATGGTGGAATAATTATTTTTACCCCAATTTATTGAATGATTTTGACAATGATTTATTCCTAATAGATCTAGATAATAGTATACATTGTAAGATTTTATTGAATGACTATTGGGGAGTGTTTATTTTGCGTGACTGCTAAAGCATGTGTGTGCTACAATGCTAATCAACTAGGGGACCTACGTCCTTAAGTCATAACTGACAGTAATGGGGATTAATACCTCATAAAAGGGCACTAATATAACACATCGACACGGTTTTGATCCTGGGGGCTCACAGTAACGAGGCCATTGCTTAGCCAATTCTGTATGAAAGTGATGAGCACTGATCTAATAGTAAGCAACATACATCTCATTTACAAACCGCCTGACAAAACTGTTCCGAGGAGTATTAGAAAGGAGTATAGGCCCTACATGAACATGTTCAATATACGTACGTATATAGGGTTGGCCGGGATAATACATCCGACCAGCGAAGCACAGGCGCACATACTTTTCAAGCTAGGAATTATATAACGACTCGACTACTTCGACACGACTTAAAGAACTACTACTAGGCGTAAATAGTCAAATCTGAATGAACGTCATCAAAACAACCAACAACAACAACAACTGTTCAAGATATTTAAACAAAAACATGGTATCCTCTTCAAGAAGGTAACTGACATTTAATAACAGTAAATTCTTCTGCCAGAAGGTACTCACGTCAAATACGAGACGTAAATACAACAAAGGAGATTACGTAGTTAAAAACATCTTGTCTGTTGAAAATGTTTGCAAAAAGAGTGACTTCTGCAGGCTGGATAGTAGAGTGTTCTAAAAAAATTGACTCAATAGGGTAGGCTCCAATAATGGGGAGTAATCTCACGAGGATATTATTCCTGGACTATTCACAGACTATTCAAAGGTTATTCCTACGTTTTGTGTCAACTTTTCACCAAGCGGGGTAATGGTCGCTATTTCAATCCGTCGACTATTCGTGAAATGGAGTTTTTCTTGTTTCTTTAACTTTGCTTTAGTTTTTTCAGATTTGGACTCTCATTGACTTACAAACACTTTTCGAATAATATAGGGTCGACATAATCTGTCAGTATTTTTGACGAATACCGATTCGCCGCCAATCCCGCTATCGTCAAACTTCCGCTGCTAAGTGAAATAAAATCTTAAGTATCCCCGTACTTTGAAAATGGTTAATTGCCTAAATATCGGCGTATTCGGGTAGCGAACTGCTCGAATGTAAGATTCTTGTATTATGTCTAGTGTATCTGGATGACGAAATAATATGTTATCATCACCATAATAAACAATGTTTGCTCGCTCCGTTCGTTCGCTCTAAAAAATTAGAAACAGGATGGTTGATGTTTTAGCAAAAGGACTCAGCCCCCTTGCGGGAAGAAAAATGCGCATGTATTCCTATGGGATAAACCAACATGTAGCATATGCATGACATTATCATTGGGGGTGAGTTAAAAGGTGGCCCAAAAGGTTCCCAACATCCCTCCGCTGTTGTGATATCTTACCTTTACTTTGTGAAGGAAGTGCAGCTTTTAAATGATGAAAACTAAGCTTCTATGGAGGCACCCATCATGGCTTTATATGGAAGAAAGTAACCTGTACAGCGAGCGCAGTTCTGCAACGCGACCGAACTGTTCTCGAATCAGGCGGCGAAGCGAGTGATGTCTAGGTGGCAATGCTTTGCTTTAATATATATGATTTCCACGCATGGTGCACAAGATCAAAACATTTTAGCACATATACGCCGGTGATGAAACAGAGGAAACTTTTCATAGTAGGTAACTTTTTTTTGCTGTGGTGTCACAAAAAAGGAAGCATTTGAAAACAGACAATAAATGGAAAGAAGACTGAAATAAATTGAATGTACAATTCAAGAGCAGACAATAAACTTCCATTGATATAAAAAACATTAATATTTCATTAATTGAAATACAATAGCAAACACATAGAACAATAACAAGGGAACTCTACATAAACAGCATAAGATAAGACCAAAGGATTTTAATGGAAAAGGGAGTGGCTGGTAGAATTGGTACATGTGGTATGGGGTGAAGTTGGTGTTGGTCTGTGGCTCCCAAGAAAGGATAACCAACCGTCCTATAAAGAACTTAAGGCTTGCTCAGATATTAACTACTTGTAAATAAAAAGCAGCTGCGTGCAACAAAGGACTTGCACACACACATTGAGCTCTGTATAAAAGAAAGAGCGAAGCGTATTACACTTAACATCATTAAAAAAAAGTGGCATTAAATGACATGAAATCCTCTTTTAACAGTGGATTCCAACTAAATGCATTACACCATGCAAACCCATGGATCTACTTCTGTGTATGTTATTCATTTTTTATGCGCAATTTTCATCATCCACAGAAACAACTAGCTGAGTTTGACCGTGGTTCAGCCCAGAAGATAGAGCAGGCCGTGAAGGACTGTCTCCATGCCCTGGAGGTCAAGCAGGCTCAGGCTCGTCTGTCTCTCAAGGAGAAGCAGCTCCAGGAACTGGCTGAAGCCATGAGGGATCTCTCTCCAGAAGAGGTAAAGTTATATAGTAAAAAAAGCCAACAAGGCCACCGAACAAGCCAACAAAGGCCATCAAACAAGCCAACAAAGGCCATCAAAGAAGCCAACAAAGGCCATCAAACAAGCCAACAAAGGCCATTTAAACAAGCCAACAAAGGCCATCGAACAAGCCAACAAAGGACATCAAATTGACAACATTGGTTCATTCAGATGGTGCCTCCAACATACTGTATACTCCTGCAACAATTGCTTCAAGCCTTATATTATTAAAGGAATGAGGTTAGGGTTTCAATTGGGTCTTAGGTTAGGTTTTAAGTTAGGGGTTAAAGCAGGTCTGAGTAGAAGTTTAGAATTCAGTTAGTGTATGATAAATTCAATTCAGATTCAAATACTTGTATATTCCAGTTTAATTTAAACCCAATTCTGATTTCTACCCTCAGGCACTTGTCCAGCAGTATACAGAGCTTGCTGAGAAGGCAGCAGCCGACGCCCAGAAGTTCCGAGAGACCAAGGTTGCTCAGATGCAGGGAGAACTGGACAGCATCAAGGCTGAGAAGAAGAGGAGGGATGATGCTCGCCGGGCAAAGATGGAGCAAGAAGTCGCGTAAGTAACTTAATTTTTTTTCCCATCGTTCATGTATCCCATTTGTCCGATGAAGCGTAAGATTTTCCCTACCTCTGAGAACCCTTACTGTATAATGAAGTGCCTCAAGAAAGTAAAAAATCTTTGAATGACCGGATTTACCATACTCATTTTCCCCAATAGACTGTAGTGCTATAAAAATCGTTAGGAAAACGGAAAATTTGATTTTGATTTCCAATCATAAATATCATAAATATCTTGATAATCAGACAGGTGATCAGCTTGTAAGAGTCATGGGGTTCCCGACTGACCTAAAGGTTTATAATTATCATTGCAGCATGAGCTAATTCCAGGATTTTGTTTGACAATGTTACAGAGTCACTTTAATTCTCTCTCTTTACTAACAGTGCCCTGGAGGCTGAGCTGGAGAACGACAGGATCCGTGAGGAGGAGAGGGAAAGGAAGAGACAGCTGGAGAAACAGAGAGCGAAGGAGCAGCAGAAGGAGGAGGCCGAGAGACGTCTCCAGCAGGAGCTCCAACACAGCGAGGGCAACGAGGCTGCCAAGGAGGTGAGGAAAGAAGATAATAAATAGGATGGTGGTGGTGATGACGATGATGATGTTAATGGTAGTGGTAGTGGGGATAAGGAAGAGAAGGGGGAGATAATGACTATCGTTCGTTCGTGTCTCCTTAGATCAAGATAGTAATGTAAAGTTCCTTAACTTAGAAGTAAATTAAATTAAATTAAGTTCTTCCATCGTGAAGAAGATAGATGAATGATGACTGATGATGACGATAAATGATGATGTTATTGATTGTGATGACCATAACTATCAGACAGTTATGATGAAGAAGGAGATTGCATGGTGGAGGTGATGATGATGACGATGATCATGAGGATGATGATGACGACGAAGACCCTGAGTATCTTAAACAGTACATTCATTTACTGTACCTAATATTCAAATTCCGAAACCTAAATCTTCCTTATCCACAGAAACTCCTCCAGGAGCACAATGAGAATATGAAGCGGTTCGAGGGGAACTTCCAGAAGGACCAGCAGAGGAACGCTGAGAGGATCAAGGCCAGACTGGAGGCTAGGAAGCAGAAGAAACAGCAACAGGAGATGGCACGGATCCAGGGAGACATCAGGAACCAGACTGATATTGATGAGAGACGAACACAAGATCAGATGAATCTCATTCAACAGAAAGGTATGAACGACACCAAGAAGTCAGGTCAGGTCAAGGGTCAAAAAGGAAATTTAGAGCCAGATTCCGATGTTGCAAAAAACATTGTAAATGACATTAGTGTATTATGCTTCACAATCAGGTAGAATGTATAGGGGCTTTTGTTGTGTTGTTTTTCTTTCATGCCCCCCTCCCCCCTTTCCCACTTTTACGCTGGCATCCCAAAATCTTAAGAAGACCTGGTTAAGGGCAATAGATTGTAGTAGTAGTAGTAGTAGTAGCGGTGGTTATTTTACCTGACTAAGACTGTTTGTAAGCAACCAAAGGATCAACGGCTCTAAGTCCTCTCTGAGAGACCTCGCCTGGTAATGAGGATTAATGCCTTACCAAAGGGCACTAGCACATCCTCTTTGTTTCGAAACCTAGATTACGAGAACACTGCTCTACCAACTGAGCTTTCATGCCTCTAACTGAGCCAACGCGCCTATCGCGATTGAGCGTAGCTATGACAGAAAGCCCCTCATGTTTTCTTGTTCTTGTTTTGTTATAACCAGTTATAAACAGAAAGCCCCTCATGTTTTCTTGTTCTTGTTTTGTTATAACCAGGTGCTTCTGAGCTCAACCAGAACAGCGTGAACTCCTGGCGCCCTGAGAACCCCGGAGACTGGGCCCAGAGGAAAGAAGACGGTCTGGACGACAAACCTGACCTCCCCGAGGGGGTCAACCAGGCCATGTACTCCGCTCTCATGGCGTCACCGTTCTTCACTGATCTGAAAGAGATCGAAGAGATGCTGAAGGATACTCTTGGATTCAAGGATGGGGTCAAAGGTCAGTAGCCATCTCTTGAATCCACCTTCTCTCTCAATTTTAGAAACATCTTCTGCAGAAGGGTGCAAATGCTGCATTGTTTTCCAAAGAGTGGACGTATTTCTGGCTCTCAGCAGACTAAATATCCCTTTTAGATTTAATGAAAATTTCTTACCTGGTGAGAGCTGAAAGAGTTCAGGAAAAAAAAATTACTGCTGATTTGCTCGACTGTTAAAAGGGGTGTGGAGGAGATTGGAAAACTTTTTGACACTCATTTGTGAAGTAGTAGTTACATATCTTAAAGCACTTTTATGGCTCATCATTTTTAACTGCCTGAGATCATACTGTGTATGGCAATTTGCAATAAAGCAATTCACATCATTGTATCAGTCTGCCAATTTTTATAGTTGCATCTCTACTGGTATTTTGTTGTTAACCTTTATCATGCCACAGGACTAATCCCCATTGTGCCAAGTGTATTTTGAGATAATCTGATTAACGAGATAGTTCTATGAACAGCGCGTGCGAAACACACAGCACAGTACAATGAGCATGAACAATAACTGCTATTATGAATGCGTACAAGCATGCACAAAGCAGTGAAGCAATGGCTCGCTCGCATGTACAAAGCACTATAACGGTAGCGTGCATGGCAGGATATTAGATAAATGTACGATAGGGTTGCTCTTTCAAAATAAAATGAGGATCTAATCATGTATATGTCTCTGTCTTCAACAGGTGCCGTAAACGACCCATTTATTGACTTGAAGGATGCGCAATGGATTCTGGGAAGCGAAATCACCCCGCTCGACATCGACAGCATCTCACCGAGCCAGTTCATCGTCTACCGCTTCGGCGTCTTCATCACTCGCCTTCTGCGCATGACCCTGCGCATGCCCGACGTGACCCTACTCCTCGCATCCTCACTCCCGCAGAATGACTACAAACGTAACATGTTCAGGCATTCCTTCTTCTACCAGCATGCGAAGAAGATTTTGTTTGTGCGCCACGAGAGGCTGGACTCGGTCGGCGAGTTCGTGATGGTCATCGTCCACTGTCTGGCGCACATCAAGGTCAACGACCTCACTGACGATACCAACCCGTACTTCCTACGAGAATTCTTCAAGGTATGTGTGGGGTTCTTAAACCCATGCTCTTGGGAAAATGGTTCCTTTATCAATATTCTATAGCAACCAAACTCAACACTGCACAAAACACTATACACTGTACATTAACCCTATTTTTTAAGCTAACCCAAATTCTATTTCTAGATGAAATACAGAGGGAAATGTCATGCATTATGTTTAGACATGTGTATACATGTAGAGATTAAATTACTAGTGCAAAATAAGGTAGACAGATAAACTGAGGGTAGAAATGAGACAAAAAATTAATTATTGTAGATTTTGAAACTTTATTATTTCTCAAGGTTTTGTTAAAAACACACTCCTTTGCTTTATAAATGCTTTTGTTGATTGCCACATAGAAAAGGTACATTGCATTTTTCTTAAGAATCAAATGTTCTTTCATTTCCTGTCGGCTAATTTCCATTTTTACGCTCTTTTATTTCTTGTAGGGAATGAAGATGATCTGCCAAGACATGTTCTTCTCAAGAGCAAAGGTCACACAGGGCTCTAGAGCTCTCGTCGGGGGCATGATGCCGAAAGGAAAGCGCCCTCTGGAGGCCATCTTCAAGCAGGGCAAGGGAGGTAACGAGAAGGCCGCAGCGGCTGTCGTCACGGAGCTCATCGATACGCGAGTCAAGCATACTGACAAGGAGGACTTTACTAAGGAGGTAACTTTTTCAGTAGATGCATGTATGAAATCATGAATGTGTTTTTGGATATGTACTCTTCCATCTTACAATCCATTTTATTTCATACAGTAGTTCATGTGCCATTTTAAAGGCTTGTTCACATAAACCAGAGTAATCAGGGATGGTTTAATTACCTCAGGATGTTTACGTACATGTACATGTCTTTGTACACACTCCAGTAGGTATATGTATGAAATCACAAATTTGTTCTTCTGTGTACTCTTCCAACTCACAATCCATTTACTTCATACAGTACAGTATATCATGTACCAGATTAAAGGCATGTTCACATATTAAACAATGACAGTTTACCTCAGGGTGTTTTAAGTTTTCTTGTATATATTTGTAGATACTCCACATTTTTGTATCTTATCATTTAAGAGAGTTTGCATAGGACCTTTTTTGTACTCACAGAGGATTCAAGTCAACCCCAGACCCTCATTCCATTTCAGAATTATTATTATTATTATTTTTTTTTTTTTTTTACTTTTTTAAAAATAACTCCAATACTTTCCAATTAACAACAAAATTATAAATCTCTTGTTGCTATGATACAGAGCACCACGGAGCGCATCACTGATGAACACTTGTACAGACATCATTTTTTTGTTTCTTATAGGACACAGATAAGTTAGTGCACATAGGACTTTTGTTGCAATCAAGAGGATGCACGTCAACCCCATTTCAGAAAATTGAATATTCTTTTGTTTAAACTCCAATCCATCCCAATTAACGACAAAATTATAAATCTCTTGTTGCTATGAAACAGAACATCAAGGAGCGCATCACTGATGAACAGGCTGCATCCTCCAAGGCAAGGCTGAGGGAGTACATGGTGTCTCACGGAGGATTCAAGTCCACCTCTGACTTTGTGGAGACGAGACTCAAGGAACTCAGAGGCACCAAGACACCTGGAGATGAAGGCAGAAGGTAAAAATTCCAAAACTGTTTGCATTTGAAAATTTTATTTTCTGAAGTTTGATTTACTATATATATATATTAAACTGACTTTTCAGTTATCACTTATCATCTGCTAAGCTATACAGGATATTAAGTTGTGTACCCTGGAAATAATGTGATTCGTAAAATGCACCACAATTCTAAGATTTGGATCCTGAGTTGAAGTTTGGTTAGTGTTGGAAATTACCATGGATCAATTGTTGCAGGAACAAGAGTCTACTACCAGAAAAAACTTGCAATTTAAATTGGTATTTTTTAAAATCTTGCCAGGCCTACTATCCATATCACGGCGATATCGAGTCTCCGCAGCCAACGAGAGCTCTTCGACCTCCAGATAACCCAGACCAACACCCAGCTAGACCAACTCAACAGCCAACTCGCCAAGTCGATGCAGGATCTCCAGGATGCTAGAGAAGGCATCAAGCGAGCGGAGGAGGAGCCTTCAGCAGCCGGCACAGCCCAGCACGGAGAAGGGGAGAAGTCGGCCGAGGTGCTTCGTATGCAGGCATCAGCGCTGGATATGAAGATTACCAACCTGACGAAGAAGGTCGATCAGGTGGAGGCGGAGCTTGTGAAGAAACGCAAGGAGAGGGATGCAGCTTCGTAGATCATCTAAAACATCCATCTCTAAAGCCCACACGTTGTTTATTTATGTATGTATGTAAAAGCTCATGCTCAAAAGGCAAAATATATACGCACATGACTGAGCTTTGTTTTTATAATTCCTACACATACATCTTTGATCAGTTGTGGAATGGCAAAATTGAACTTTTATATGTTTCTTGATCAAAATTGCTTAGTGCCTTTTTGTTGTAAATATGAATAATTTGTGTGAATCTCCCGTCCTTTTTATATATTATCACTCAATGTGAGAAACATGACGTCCAGAAAGTTTTCCTGTACTACAGACTTTATTGCAACGAACAAAGATGTTAATGATTATTTTCATGAACAAAGAATATAATGATCACAGATATGTACATATTTCTAATTTTATATCGTATTGTGTGTGTGTTTGTCGTGAAGTGCAGTTTCTAAATAGACTATTCTATTTATATCTATTTCAATCAGTGTGAAAATCAATAATGAAATGTATTTAGTCAAGTAAAATTTATACTTCAGAGCTTAAGATGTTATTAAATATAATACGTAAAGCGTAGATGGTAATTGTGAGTAAGGAAAATAATGCTTCAAAAGATTAGATTTTCAGTTGTAGTCTGTAAAAGTGCATAAGTTTGGTCGAACACAAAGATTATGGCGCACTTCACATGATGGAATATCTACCTGTATATTTATATTTGAAGAATTTAATCTCTCAATTTTAGCAATAGATGAACAGATTTTTGTGTGTGTGTTTAGTAATTAGTGTTTATTTGCAAATATCTTGGAAGTGTATGATCTTTTCAGTGTCAGAAGGATGCTTAAGTATGCAAGTTAATACTCTTATGGCAGACAATATGTAGATTTAACCTTATTTGGTTTGGTTAGATTTTGTATTTTCTTAAATGCTATTCACCCGATGCCCTCATATTCCGTCCGAATAGTGTTTTCAGTTTTAGTTCAGAAAAAAAGGGAGAAAAATCATTTTTGATATGATTATAATGTCAAATCATGAGATCAAATAATTGAGAGAGATGTGTAACACAATTAAATTCAAAATCATCATTCAAATATTCATATGGAGTCTGAAATCTTGTGTTAAAAAAGAGTTGCTCAATAGAATCACAGAATCAAATCATATTATTGAATCATTGAGATAACAAAATTCTTTGTACAAAAGCATTGTGCAAATTTTTCACCTGGAGTTTGTGATCTGTAAAATCAGTCTGGAATTGAATACATAGAGCAATACCTGACAAAATTGAATGTCATTATTTTAGTGTAACATAATCATGAATAATTGCAACCTGTTGTTGATATCAGTTGCTGATTTATTAATCTATAAAAACATTGTCTTTAAAATGAAAATCACCTTGAACAATGTTTTGATTACCAGTATTTATTTGACCAAATATTATTGAATGAGGAGCACCTTGATTGTATAATTGATTTTAAAAAAGTTGAACTACATTTACAATGATCTATACAGTGTCTTTCAATTTTTAGTATTCTGTTAGTATTTTTTATAAATTTTGATATTAATCGCATGCCTATGTTCTCTTTATTTGAAAACAGAACGAAAAATTCACCGTAATTGCTTACACATATTATGTCTATCCTCCGTTGGCGATGAACAAAAGCGATTACAAATAGGAAAGGAAAATCATGGAATAAACTTGATCTTTGTAATCTGAAGTTTCATAATTTTGTATGATAGTTTTCACAAAAGTTAATCTTTTTCTTGGAAGAACTTGTATCTTTAATTATTTTGTCTATTCTTATTTTGTGTGCTGAACATTGCAGCAAATGTTGTTATATGTATAGAAGTATTGAACTTTTCAAATTCTTCCTATGTTTGATGATTTTGTACACTCTAATGCCTTGATCAAATTCAATAATATTACTTTCTTCTATGCATTCCAATGTTACTTGTAGAGTTATATGACATAATAATTAATGCTTGTATATTTTATCATTGATATTGACTACTCAGAAATGTATTTTGTTTGATAATTGAAGAAACAAATCTATACAGAATTTACCTATCAAGAATGCTTTTATGAATAGATATGTGCTTATTTACATATTTTTGGAAAACTTGTATGATATGAGTGCCTTTTCCGTCCTTTATTGTGTACCTTTTTTGTTTGTTTTCTTAGAAATACAATAAAAGCACCTGTAACATAGATTATTTGTTTTTTATTGTTTTCCTTTTCTTTTACTAAATTGAAATGAGATTAAAAAAGCTATTGTGAGATATAGCAAGAAAGATATAGAGACAGAAATTGTTTCACAGAGAAAAATAGAAAGAAGGAACGGAAGAAAAAATTCTTATGGGAAAACAGAATAAGAAGGAGACTAGAGTGGGCTAAGAAGAAAGACAGTGAGAGAGAGAGAAAGAAAGGAAAGACAGAAAGAGAAATAGATGGACAAAGAAAGATGAAGAGGGGAAATACATCTTTTTTAAATCATCACTTGTTCAATATCAAATTCAAACAAAGGAATGTAACATAATTGGAATGTGCATGTCACACCAAAAATATTGCCCAGGTCATGCAATCGTTAATTACATGCATGACAGCCCCACTCCCCCTCCCAAAAAGTGTAATATAATATGACATTAAATAGATTAAGTAAGTACATATAGAAACTATTACCGATGGTGTTCAAGCTTAAGAAATAAATGATGATCTGCAGGGTAGTTAAGCTTTTGAGAGCCAGAAGGGCGATTTTACTCAGATTGATATTATAGTTCACGCCCAATGGCTCCCAGCTCCTCCCAGCACAGTACGGTTTGTGATAATGCCAAACAGTTCATTGTTTTCACCTCGTTTAAGTTCGTGTGTTCGGATGACGCATGTGTCCCGATACCATTATTTTACATTGTTATTTCAAGTCTCTAGTATGATTTTATTTTGTCCACTACTCCCCCTCCCCTCTTTTTTCTCTCTCTGTCTCTCTCCCTTTTGTTCTCACTCTCTCTCTCTCTCTCTCTCCTCCCACTAACCCTTCCTCTTCCTATCTCTCTGTTTCTTGCTTTCTCTGAGATTCTTCCTCTTTTACTCCCCTCTCTCCTGCATGGTTTCTTCCTCTTGTATTAGTTTTTCTTAACCCCCTCATTCCTCACATATTTCGCTTTTTTTTTTGTTCCGCATACATCCAAAATCATTTAAAGATTGAAAAACTGTAGATCACTTGAGAAGAAAAAAATGCTTTTTTTTCTTCTTAATTTACGTGACCATCTTTCTTTTGTGTCTGTTTTCTTTGCTGGGGGGGGGGGGGCTGTAATCATTTACTGGTTTTCAACTGGTAAATCAACTGGTATTCGTCATTGGAGGTCCAACTTGGGTGACTTTTGCTCAATTTATAGTAAACGAGAATGATGATTGACAAAAGCTTGCAATTACCTCTATCGTGTTGGGCAAATTATCCCCAAAATTTTATACAGTACTGTAATAAGGAATGTTTATTTGAAAACTCTTCATGGAAGCCCAACCTAGCATTTAGGATCGAAAATGAAAAAGAAACAAATTCCATTGAGGGCGCTCATCCAAGCTTATGTGTAATGTGATGGAGCAAAGCGACTGAGCGTTCAAAATTTTTTCTACATTCACATCCTATTTCGTATCCTACGCCGCTGGGCGAGTGACGTTTTTATTATTCTGAAAACCAGCGGCCACGAGCAAACGAACCATGCAAGTCAGTGTGGAAGAAAAAAGATCACTGTTTGCAGAAGAAGATTACAATGTATAGGGTATATTTATGTTTCGTTTAAGGACACATTCACTCTGAACACGCCCGAACAGATTCCCCCCCCCCCCATAAAAAAAGGAACAAAAACAGATAACATTTAAAATTTTAAAAATTCTAAGGCAATTTCTATAACCTTATCCATTGCCTTTTTAATATGCGAGCATCACAATGGCGGAGAAAGGGAATCCCAACATTACTTTATATAGACAATATAATGGGGTATATAAATTGCCTGACTTGATTTCTCGAAAGTCTTTGCGACGGTGTTTCTGGACAATGGGTGTGTTTAGCTCTCTGTAAACGAATAGAGACCTTTTATGGGGGGGGGGGGTAGCATTTAAGCCTTAGTTCTTTAATTTTGTTGTTGTTGAGGTATTCTTGCTGGCTTTTGAGAGCACATCATTATTGACTAAAAGCCTTGCTAATGTATTTGATTTGAAGAAAACCGATCAAGCGTTATAAAGTTCGACATTTTTTTTACTTCTGCGTTATGCTTCACGCAGTGAACAAATTCATGTACCCTCTTTCTGTAGTATGCAGGACTGAAATGATCAACTACACGTATGTGTCGGTATTCCTCTACTCTACAATAAAGGTTATCATATTTATAATTCATTAAAACGATAAATAAAAACTATGTAAATACCAACTTTCCAGTCCACCATTTACTTTATTACTAAGCTTGCTTTTGTACATTTTTTGTTGCACACGATATTAAATACAAATGATAGTTACAGTACTCTGCTTTTTATCATCGGTATCAGAAAGTAACTAAGTAATCAAACATTGAAACGAGCTACAATACAGGATGTCCCTTAAAATAGAAACACAAGCTTATTTTTGTAAATCACTCAATTATCCTAAATTATTTTTTATCATTACTGTATACTTCACTGAAAAGCTCATTTTCCTTTATATCATATGACAACAAGAATATGATCATTTAATCACATATGACTGAATTAAGATGATGATAGTTGTTTTGAAAAGACAAATTATTTGGGAATATTGATTATCGAAACTCATCATGTAAAGCCTGATATTCTCACCTTTCATTTGAATGATTGTAAGGCTAGTCTAAACACCTACCTTTCACACAGTTAATCAAAAAAGTATTTCTCACTTGATTATTAATTTCGTCATAATGTAGTTTGTCTGCGTACCTTTGCACGTTTATAAATTATTTGTCTTACATTTGTATTGATATACGTACATTCCTGTCATATTCCGTCATTAATTCGTGTAAGTTAATCATGTATATGGTTTAGAGGCACTTAACCTTGATCGCTGTATAAAGGTTAATTATATATTTATTTATTAGCTTTGCGGCTATGTGCATATTAACCAAAAATAATTCAGGATTATTGAGTAATTTAACGATAAACTTCAATCTCCGTTTTTCAGGGACACCCTAAACAATATTGTTTATACTTTAACAAAATCGGTAACAAAAACAACCAAATAATCTAGAATAAAGTACAACTTTCTGAGTAAAAAAATAAGAAGCACAAGAACCTGTATATGAAGTATAATCATAGAAAAAATAGGTAACTTCAAGAACTGCATGTATTTGTCATTACTTAACAAAGGTTTAAAGCCAAAAAATAGTACATTTTGTATCTCCTACGGTTTTTCATTATTTCGTCTTCACTTATCTATTTATCGTCAACCACCGCAGGAGTATATATATATATACATGTACATATATTTTTTCACGAGATTTACAAAATATGTCGGTCAATTAAATCTGGTGTCACCGAAGCCACTGGCCCGTCTATGTGGTCTAGTGGTTTCATCATTGGCGTTCTCTGTCAGTGACACGGTTCGATTCCCGGTGGAGACAATTTTTTCAATCTTTGCAAAGAAATTTATAAAAAGGGACAGCAACGGGGAACTTTGCTTTTAGTTACATAACCATCATTGTCTAATTTCCTTTCGCATTATATTTATATATATCATGTCATGACTAAAAAATGACTAGAATGAATTGCATAACAAAACTATCGTACCATTATCGTCATCATTATACTTTTTTCAAAAATGGACAAAACACTTCTCTGAGTAATACACCATAAAGTATCAAATACACAAAAATCTTTTCATCATGAATACTTCGACAAGGTACATATACATTGTACAGATATAATTCGTCATTGTTTAATTTCGTAAAATAAAGATGATAACAAAATAATATCGATCACCTGATTGCCCGAATGGTAATTGCAAAAAGCTCGGGGAAGGGGATGGAGGATTCTGTATAGCCTTGTGGTTTAGGCAATGGCGTTCTCAGCCAGTGACCCGATTCAATTCCAGACGGAGAAAATTTGGTTCAACCTTTGCACAACAAAAATCGGAAAAGAGGACAAAAATGGGAACCTTAGATTTACCATTATTATCTAATTTCCATTCGCAATATACATATATATATATATATATATATTATTTCATGTGTAAAATTTATTAAAAATGAAGAGAATAAGAAGCCCATCGTACCATCATCATCACACTTTTTCGATCAATGAAAAGACCTCTTCTCTGAGTAATACACCGCAAAGTATTATTTATAAAATAAAATCATCTGATCATGAATACTTCGATAAGCTACAATATACATGTATATAATGTAAACATCTAACTTCGCCATTGAATAATAATTAAGACGATAACAAATAACAATCTTCTGGTGGCCTGAATATGTGGTGACGGAATATTGGTAATTAGATAATTCTCGGGGAAGGGGAATGGGGGGGGGGGAGGGGGTCAGCCGACACCCAGCCCACCCCTCCCCTTAAAAATGCTTACAAATAAATGAATAAAAAGCCGTTTACTTTCATAAAAAAATCCAATATAAATGGATACATCGCTATAGTCAAAACCTAAACTGTGCCATTGACCTTTGCATAATCGGTGGTGCCACTGGCATCTATGTCACTGCTCTAATTTCCTTTGTTGACATCTGTTGAATCCATTGGAATCGTGACGGCATCATCACTCCTCTCATTGTGTTTGGTGCATCATTGCATCTCTGCATCATTAGGGAGACTGACGGCAGCATCCTTGTTGGTGGAAGAAACATCATCGGTGCCCTTAGTAGCTTTCCTGACATCAGTTGAATCCAGAGTAACTCTGACCGTGTCAACATCCGTGATGGAGGGAACACCATCATCTCCCTTAGTGACATTTGTGACAGAAGCATCAAGAAGGAGACTGACCGTCACGATCCGTGTCCTTCTGTTCTTCGGTGGAACTTTGGAGATATTTGTTCATACGTGGTGTGACCCCTTCCTCAACCTGGCTATCATCAAAGGTCGGATTGAATCTACACAAGGGATCGGGATTGTTGTCTTTGGTAGGCAACAAGGAATTACCCGAGGCTCCTGGGCGCAGATTGCTTATCACGCCAGCTGACGAGGATTGGGCCGTCGAGTTCATCGCACCGCTCGAAGTGCTTGCTTCTTTCTTTAGGAACTTGTCGAGACAAGTTAGACCCCATTTCTTACGGATGTCAGGGTTCCGGACGCAGTAGAGTAGAAAGATGAACAACCCTTGGAAGGAATTAAGGACAATGAAGATTGGCTGAGCCACCTGTTAAACGCAAATGTTTCAGAAATAATAATTAGGTATATGGCATTCTATCTCATGTTCTTCATATACTTAACATCTAAAGAGGTATTGCTGGTGTATGTAATTATCAGAACTGAGTTCTCAAGATACTTTTTAGAAGAGATATATACCACACTGGAGTTAATTGGCTTTACCTGACTGAATGAGGGGATCAAAAGAAGATATCCGGTGACCCAGGTCAGACCGAGCAGGAGCAAGATGCAGATCGCGTTCTGGACGCGTTTGATAGTCTCTCGTCGTTCTGCATTAGCCTCTTTTTTCACCCGACCAGCGATTTTGGCCGACTCGCGAAATTTTCGAACCACCAGGAAGAAGATGACAATGTTGATGAGGAGGATGATGGACATGGGAATCAGAAGACCACCGATTTGAGCCCAGAATTGTAGGAAGCATCTGTTGATAGTAAATATATAATTTGTAAAGAGACTGAATTAAATCAATCAATACTATCTTAGCGATAGTTATGCGAAATAGCTATCGTCCTTAGAACATTTTAACTGAAGAATTTTCATTGTAAATAATTTCCCTTTATTTATTTTGGCAATTCCAAGCTTTCTTGTCCCCTGCGTTACCAACAACATCTGAGATTTTTAGAGTGTGGTGATTTTATTCAGTTGGTGACCTTTCTAGAGCTTGGAATACACCACATATCCATGAAAGTGATAATTAGATACCAATTACAGATCATGATTGCATACTTGCTAACTCATGAGATACCAAAATACCAAATGCCGTTAAACAAGATTAGAGTACAGAAACGTGATTTAGCTGAATCCGAAATTTGAAGATCGTTAAGTATACGTTATGCTATGCAATCTAATATTCAAGCTTAACTTTCAAGCGTTACCACTTACAGATCTTCTTGAGCATAAGAGTCTCTAGCTATAGCTCCAGTAAGAACCACGATAAGTGCAGGAATTCCTGAAATGACATACGTGTATACGGAAATACAATTTGATTAATCATTCATATTACGCCTATATTAGCTATTCCTTTCCCCGTTTCTTCAAGAGGCCTATTCATGACTATCGTTGTGCTGTCCAGCTCACAATTTGTTTCCCACGGTTATGGCGACACTACGATTACTTTTTTAAATGAATGAGATATCTTGATTATTATACTCTCTGGGATTTAGAGTCTTCTTTGTACAAATCACTTGCAATTGAATTGAATTTATTTTATTCTGCAAGATACAATATAATAATAATAAATGATGACAATAAAACAAATGTTAACTGATAACACAATACAAATAATTATTAATTAAGAAAGTTGCAGAAGAAGAAGGGCTATTATGATAATAAGCGATTGCTTGATAGCGTGATAGCCCGGGGAAAAGGGAAGGGGGGGATTATGATAACAAATTCAAACAAAAACTGATAATGGTGATGATGTTGATGATAATGAATGATGGTGAAAATAAAAATGAAAATATGCTGATGTAAACATGTCTGACACAGAAAACTTTTATAAGTATACGAGAGTTATAAAATATATTGATGAATGTTTATAGGAATTTGACAACGATATTGATTATTAATTCAGAACTGGGAAAAGATCAAACAATGTACTCTGATAGAAACGCATTCTTCGTAATGAATTTAGATGAATTTAAAGTTTTACATAGCATTCGAAGGGTCTTTTTTAGGAAGATTAATTTTTGTCTCATGAAGTATTCCAGTATTCCTAGGAATGCATGTAATTATATGTCGTATGTGTTCACTCCAGCTCATAATTTCATCAATAACGATACCTACAAATGTTGTACATTTCTTGCGTTCTAAGACTATATCATCAATTACAATATTATAAGGAAAAGCTGGGGTTTGTGCATTGACAGGTTTAAAGTGCATTAAGCTTGTTTGATTAAATTTAAGAGATTTATTACTTTTAAACCAGTTTGATACTTTTGGTAATTCTAAATTGAGTGTACAAATAAAAGCATCCAAATTCTCATGAGAAAGAAAAAAGGGTGGTGCCGTCAGAAAATAATATGTAAACTAAACGAGAGATGATGCATTGGTTATATCATTATACAATAAGAAAAGAAGGGGATATAATATTGATCCTTGTGGGACTCCACATTTAAGTGCAAGATATTCCGATAAAAACCCATTCTGAACCACATACTGTTGCGGGAATGAAAAATAATATTTAAACCACGAGAGAGCAACTCCTCGAATTCCATAAACTGGAAGCTTTTCAAGCAAAGTATTGTGATTTAGCGTATCAAATGGCTTTGACCAATCCGTACAATCCTCATTGCATGTTTTTTATTGGCCCTTGCATTTAATATTTTATCATACATATGAACCAAAGCTAGGTCAGTGGCAATGCCAAGTACAAATGGCAGAAATTACGAATTCATGTTCATTTTAAGAAGATGTCTGTTGCAGTATAGTCCGTCCTAATGTGATTTATTCCATAGTTAGCATGACGAAATGAATATAATATCCTGCCAGAATTCAGGAATTTTTTGTATTTATTACAAATCAGAAAAGATAAACATATCCTTTTCTATATGAATATAATCGCAGCGAAGCAGGCCGCCGCATCTTGCCAAACTAATCGTTTTATGGATACTTTCAATACCTACATTTATATGTTTAAATAATTCGGTCGAATGTTTCTGATCTAGAGACATTCTATCTGTAAGTAAAAACATACAGGCATTTCATGTTAATCGTATATAATAGTTAAGCACTATTCCTAGAACAAGGATTTAAAGAAAGAAATATCTCACCCCATGCAGCTAAGAAAGCCTTGATCATGAAATTCTGGATGTAGGTGTTAAAGATCTTCACAAAGAAGAGGTACATATTGTACCCTTCCACACCCATCCATGCAATGGAGGACAAAACGAAGAAGTGAACTAGGGCCGTCAGGAACGCACAGGGTCCAGCTTGGACCTCACGATTATCTCTGGTAGAATCCAGAGAGATCATGATGACAAATGTCGTGTAGAGACACAGCAAGGTCAGGCACAGACAGATCAAGATCTGGTTAGTCTGTTTCGTCCTCGAATCCCTATCAAGATTGCAACATTGAAAAAAGGTTAAGAAAGCGTCGAAGCAATATTGTATCATACATGTACAGGTTTACCGAGAATAGAAACGTCAAACAACAAGAAAAAACAAAGTGAAATTGAGGGGGAAACGTTTGTAAAATGAAGGAGATTACGTGATTATGCTTTACTTATAAACATGTATCTCTTCTATTACTGGGCACGAACCCTCAGAATTGGCACATCGTTGTATCGATGTATTGGGCGCTATATAAAAGCGGAATATTATTATTATTATTATTAACATTAATTTAGGTGTAACTATTCAGGACGATGTCAAGTGTGAATCATATGTACGCCAAAGGTGTTCGAAATACAGACTACACACCATGGGACAGAGGATTGATCTACGACTTTGATCGCATATCAATATATGATATTAATATGATATAAACAAATTACTATTGTAATCTATCTATGACCCTCGTCATACCACCCCTACATCATCAAGCAACTAATCTATGGCAGTTTCCCTTCTTCTCCTTCCACCTCTTCTTCTTCTTCTCCTCCTCCTCCTCCCCCTCCTCTTTCCCTTTCTATCTGTCTCCTTTGTATTACATTGATGACTGCATTTTGTTTTCAATAGGCTCACTTGTTCCACAGGTAGGTTGTCAATGTGACAAGAAGACTGAATATAGAAATACAGCATCCAATGTAAGTCAGGATTTTTAATTCCTTGGCCAATGGATCCTCCGGTCTATGGATATCCTGTAACATGAAAGAAAATTGAGCCCAAACTGAAACGCCTTCTTCGATTGCTCAAATAACACTGATTATTTGACCATCAGCTCTCATCAATTCTATGTGTCGTTAATTAATAACTGAGAAATTGGGGGTTTAATATACATGCAATAGAAAGTGGTGGAACCTCATATTAACAAATTGAGAAAAAGAAAACAATATCAATTTACTACCTATTACACAAGACACTACACCTTCAAACTTTATTTGATCTCAAGAGTGAGAATATTATTCGTACCTAATTGAAGACCAGCTCTATACTTCGCCGTTCTTCGGAAGTAAAAGGGGAAATGTAAAAGGGGAAGTGGTCGAACAATGACTGGTCGTCCACAAATACCTGGTAGAATTTTGTCACCTATCTGGAAAGAAGCTAGCTAGTAGCCTAATATCCGTTCGTATTACAGCAGGCGTAAGGTATATTACATAGTACATATTTAATCCGCAGGACCAAGTATACCCCTGGGTCATCAAGAGGATTATCACGCTATAGCTCTATTGCGTTTAGTTAGTCGGGTTTTAGTTGTCCGGTGATATAATAATGCCTAATTGCTTTTCACTGACCATTATAACAGCGAAGTTGGTAAGATGATCACATGCACAGCGCACGCCCTCCTCATCATAGCGCTCATCAGATGATGTGAATCCAGAAACAAGAACACACCCATCTTGGGACCAATCTTCCTGCTCCTCATCCCAGAATGAACAATTGGGATTCCCGTATCCAGGCTACACAACAACAACAACAACAACAACAACAATAAATGCATGGAACCATAATGTTTAAATAAAGCATGAAAGAAGAATGAATGATAATTTTGATTGGTTTAGTTTAAAAGCCTATTCTATCATGAGGGGAATCAAACACAGGAGTTGAAGAAGAAAAAATAGATTAAAAAACATATGTTTAAATTTTCACCTATATATGTACGTCTACAAATTTAATTATTTACAAATACTGCTAAAGACAGATTACAAAAATTATATGAAAAACTTTAATTAACTTTTATTAGTATAGGTCTTACCATTATTGTAGTGAAGGTAAAATTGATGAATTCGGTCAGGGCTGCTACTTTCCCTTGACCAATACTGAGAGAAATCACGGGCGAGTTAGCTGATCGATTGAAGACTTCACTATCTTCACTGATGTTGCGCAATGACTTAGAAATGAACAGGGCTGGAGTTGAAAATACATTGAAGTTGACCCGGACGTGTGCACTGCCATTCGACGGCGATCCTGAGAGTGGGGCCGTGGACGAAATGACGGATGAAACTGAAGGTGGAATGTTGACGTGAGCGATGATGGCTGGTCTGGTAGCAATGACGTCATCGGGGTCATCTTGGGTTGGAGCACTGATGGTAATATTGGACTTGGTCAGGTCTGAAAAACTGGATCCAGCTAGCGTAAGCACAATACCGCTCATTACGTCGTCAGCAAGTACACTCTGAACCTGTTATGTGATTATTATTACAATCATTATTATCATTATTATTATCATTATTATTATTATTATTATCATTATTGATGATGATTATGATTGAAAATGACGTGATTAACAGCATACACAGACGTCCAAGTAATTAGGCATCCACTAAATTCAAAATGTGATGTATCCCGCACACATAAATGCATGAATAATGATGTTGTTTGGTAGTTATTTTGTTAAAAAATAACGACAAATGGTGGCAGTGTCGCGCCTTGTTGGACACCAGATTAAACGAGACCACGATGGATAAATGGCAGTGTCAGGTTTTTCTAATTCTTTTATTTTGAAAATCCATGCGAACAATTATATCAACATGGACATGGAATTCTATATTTTAGTATACTGGTTGAAATAAAATTACTTTTTCATAGCCTATGATATACATGTAAAATCACCTGTACGGCTACATATGGCTGCTGAATGTTGAGCATCCCACCATCGGCAACCTCAACACGGCCGATTTGTTCCTCAAAAGCCTGGACAAATTTACTTATTGCCCCATCTTCTTCCTCTGCGGCTTCAAGTTCCTCTGTTTCTACCTGAGCTATATTGCTCACAATACTCGTTATAGACGTTGTTACCTGTCAATTCGAACACAAAAGATGAAAATGATTTAATCTATAGTAAGAGAAAGTTGCCAAATCGTGGAAATCAATCTCAATGACGATTGGGTATTAAATAATATAGCAGCCTTGGCACAGGTGTTATTTTAAAGCTGTTACACAACTTTTGGAAGAACCAACCACCAAGGGGTCAAAAAATATGAAAAGGAGTGGCGTGACAGACCTAAATATGTCATAGAACCAGTCAAATATTATACACACTTTCTAAACAGAGCCTGATACGGTGTTAGGCTCTAGTGAATTCTTTATTCAAAGTAGTTTAGCTCCAAGGCGTCAAATATTGTTCAAACCGGTTATGGGATATACCTCTTTCATATCTATGACAATTGTTTATATATGTATCGGAGGGAAGACTTATTTTTTTTCTCCATGAGATAATTATTATTGGAGCATAATAAAACTAATCAACCATCGCAAGTTCATGTTCAGTAGGATTGATCTGACATCGTGCAGAATACCTCTTCACTAGTAAGATTTAGTTGAAAAATGTTTGATGTTATCTCTGCCACAAGCTTGATGTCATCTGATGTGATATCTTCGATGTTGGAAGTAACATCTGATAGTTGCTGGCTCACTTCAACTGCATTTTCTTCATCTACGATTACCTAAAATTTGAGGGGAAAATATCATTAAAGGATGAACACATTGAGTGAAACGACTTTCCCTCCTCAAAGGTTGTGTGTCCCTTTTGCAGATTTAAGATATAAACTTGTGTTAATGCTTTAGTAAACAAGAGATACTACCAACTAAAAACTCCCCTGAAAGAGAAGAACTGGTAATTGCTTTCATGTGGAATTATGTCGACCGTTAGGAATTTTTGCAACGCGTTTCGAGAACTATGCGTAGACAATAGTATGATTTTCAGACCCTTGTACTGTACTTTTTGTGCTGCGCAAAGATTCAATTCAGTCAGTCATTCAATAGTGTCTGACAGTGGGTCTAGAAAGTAAACGGGTTTCCTTGCATACTTTGAATACTAGGATACTGCTAAAGTTTACATTTCACAAATAGGACATACGTGACATATTCATAATTTCTGCAAAGTTCTACAGAATTTGATGTTGGCTGAAAAAGGGATACACTACCTATAAGGTAACATTGAAGATAAAGGTGAGTTCTGGTAATGCGATTGCATTGTGAAAGAAAAGGTGTGGAATGGATCAGAAAAGTTGATCATATAGCATGTAAGTATTGGTGTGTAATGCAAGGTTCTGGAGTCATCAAAATCATCATAAATCTGGCCTAGTCTTGGTAAAGTAACAATCACTGTTCACAGAAATGGTGTCGGGCTAGAACCTTGATTTCCTTATCTTTCTATGCTCCTTACTCAGCCAGTATACATTTTCTCCCAAAATTATTTGGCACCTGACATTTATTGTAAGCTTGAACATTCAGTGTAAGTGTCGTTACATTCTGTGAGAATTCATTTTTTTTTTTTTTTTTTACTAGAACTCAAGTTTATCTTTAAGGTAACCTTACGACACTACAATCACACATAAGTAAGTTCCTTTTTTCCATGTACCATCTTTACTATAAACATTTTTTTAATGTGTCCCATAATATCTAATTTCACAACTCATAAACCGGAAGATGGTAGATAATTTCCGAACAAATTTTGCGGTTGCAATCGCCTACGGGTGTCAACTGATTTTAATTAGACCAACATCTTATAAATACAATAGTTCAGTAAAATTCTACTACTTCAAAGTATTTTATGGGTTTAGATGCTGTATCAAAAGGTAACTAATGAAGATAAGTAGGTCAGTTGCAAGTGCTCCTATTTTAGTATTAGGGACTTTTAGATTCGCACGAAGACAATGGGGATTGCTACGGTCTACGTCATTTTAATGCACTGCCTTGAATGGACGTCACAGTATCAGTCCACGCAAATCTAAAAGTCCCTAATGTCAAAGGATATGACAGAGAATATGTTACCGCCTTGAATAAAAATCGTCCAATGCATTTGTGAATGCATTTGTGAAAGAATCAGTATAATTGATTGACCATAGCTTTTGTTACCCTTTAGGCATGATCTTATAGTTTTCAAATGTAAATTAAGAATACACTCTAAGAAAAAAAAAGGGTGAGTAAGAAAGGAACATTAATGTTTAATCGGGTAAAATTGAACACAGTTATGGGTAAAAATAATTTACCGAATCGGGTGAAATCTACTTAATGATAGGTCATTTTATACTTATCTTTTTGTCAGGATGTAATGATCAGTGGTATATACAATGTACTAAACACAATTCATTTCATATCAAGGTTATTATTAAAAAGCCTCTTTTCATTGACAACATTTGAAAAGAAAAGAAAAATCCAAAAACCTCTGCAATTTCGCTGAGAATATCTGTGACCTTTCTAAATGGTCCGCAATTATCCACAGCTTGCCACTGGCTCTTGGTTATACCATCGCCGAAACACCGAGCCCGTCCAATGGGTTCCTTGGCTGTTCGGTATTTAAAAAATACACATATATATATATTGTTATACATATCAAAATAACACATGGCAAACAATTATTAACATATACGAAGAAAGAAGGAGACACCAATAAAGTACCGCCTGCAATTTTCTCATGCAATTCATGAACTTTTCAATGCATTCAACAATATGCGCGGATATAGAATATTAATTTAGGTCCGAATGCTGGGTGTATTGTGCATTTATTTTCTACCTGTGCCTCGCATAAATTCACTTTTATTCATGAAAACAGTTTGGGGGCTTGAATATCTATAGGGAGGGGCTTCAATAATGAAGTGAAAACAAACTACATTGGTTAGATTATGATATCATGATGTCAAGGCTATTTTGGAAAGGATATTGCCAGTTCACGGTTGCAGTCTGCGCATGAGCAGATAAAGGTCATCGCAGAAAAAATTGTGAAATGCACGGAGACGAAATACTGGAAACGTGCTCATGAAAGTTATGTAATCATTATTTAATTATGCACTCCATGATACACAGGTGGAAGTATTCTTTGAAAAGGGGAAACAAAGGCTATTTATGTAGCACCTCCATCGCTGTAGGAATGATTATTTCAAAATGTACAAAGTGCGACCTCTTCATGGTTTTAAGATCTGTGGATATTCGGGGTCATTGCAGTAATGTGCTAACCGTGAACTGGTCTATTGTTCCTGATCGCGTAGTTTCCATTCATTAACACGTTACCAAAAAACGCAAGCGGCGGGTTTTTTGCGGCGGATTACTTAGCCATATCTGTGCAAGCATAAAGGGAAATTGTCATATTAATGGTGCTTTTCACCCTATAATCCCCCGTCTAATTCCTAAAATTAAAAATGAATGAAAGACCATTAAAACCAACCTTGAGTAGTGTTGAATGGACACATTCCTGTTGAATATTCCCATGTTCCGTTTTCACCAACCGGAAAATCGACTTTTTCAAACCGAGGAGATATCCATGAGATGTTCTGGCAAAAAGCTTCACAAAAAAGAGTGAAACGAAATTAGTGAGAAAAAAAAAATCCCCTAGGAAACGTCAATTCCATGTTTGTTTATCTACTTTAAATTGAATTGCTGCAAATTGTACAGGACCTTGTATTTTTTTTCCTGAGAAGTACCCAATGCTAGGGAAGCTCAACGTGCACCCAACAGGCTACGTGTTTAACACGCCAACGTACCATGATTAAGACGGGAAGGTGAAAAGAAGAATTGTCAAAACTCGTCGCGGCGCCATATAAGTAGAGAAAGCGAGAAGGCGTGTATTAACAAGATGCTAAGGCGCCTTCTTGTCTTCTCGGGCCTAACAAAGCGCCTTGGTGAGTTTTATCTAGTCGCCTTCTAGCATTCTCGTCGTAAACATGGGGCCTTGGTGACTTTAACAACTCGCTTTCTCGCCTTCTAGGCCCTAACATTAACAAGGCGCCTTGGCGAGTTAAACAAGTCGCCTTCTCTCTGCACGGTAAAGCTTCCATACAATGCAGAGAATTTGAATTACAATAAACAAGAATTAAAATTAATAAGTTCTGTATTAAATGAAGGGCCAAAATGCAACAGAAACATACAAGACCCGCGCACAAAGAAACACTTGCCAATATGTTTTTTTTTAAGAATCTCCTTGAAAAACGTGGGCGATAAATCTAAGATAACTATATTTTCCCACGGTTCATTTTTTTAAAAGCTTTATAATTTCGAAGGTTCATAATTCCATAACAAAATTTACCCATACCTGAGGGTTTATAATTCTGAAAATTCAAAAGGGTTTCCTAGACCCGGGAGATTCGTAATTCCCAAAATTACACAAGGTTCATAATTGTGAAAAAGAAATGAGGTTAAATATTTAAAAGGTTCATAATATCATAAACGAGACAGGGTTCTATTTCTTTATCAGAATTATGAACCTTCTGAAATATGGACTGTTTCATTTTTGGAATTACGAATCCTTTAATATTATCTGAATAATTAACCCTTTTCCATAACCAGAGATTTTAACAAATGGGAAAATGCCATGGAACTGGATTGGTAAATATAAATAATATTCAAATAAGACAAATCAAGTATAATCACATACTCACTTGATAGGTCAATGGAAATGAACTCAACACGCATTCGAATACAGGTGGGAACCTTCGCTCCTATGACAGTAAACCACATCTCATTGGTACCTATAAAGAATTCATCAGCGTAATCTCTACATCCATGGATAGTTGCGATGACAGACTGATTGTCAGACGGATCATTACCTGTCCCCATTTGGACTGTTCCAGTACCATGAGCGAGATAAAATAAGTGGAACGCGATTCGAAAACCATGTGCAGCAGTTGTTTGTAGCAAGGTTGTATTGTACAATCGGCTGTAGCTGTTTAACGGTATGTAGACACAATGTGATTCACTTTCCTGCAGATATGTTGGTGAATTATCTGTAAGATTTTTTTTGTTGTTTAAAGACAAGAAAGAAAAAAAGATTTGAAAAAATAAAGACCAAGGAACCCCCACAAGAAAAATGTGATGGCAAACCTCCAGGCTGATCCAATTGTGTGTCTCATTAATAACATAACAAATGTATCCCATTTCTACATAATATACCTGACTTATAGGAATGCGCAAGACAATATTTTAAATTACATGTTCTCGTGTAAAAACGTTTACCCCGATGGGAAAAGACATCAGTTACTTTAAGTTAATCGTGAAAATGTTGAGAGTTTAAATATTTTGGGGAAATTGCTCTTTGTCGCCTTAAATTAGGGGCACGTTTAATGTTGAGAGGAAAAGGGAACACTTATCGAAAGGGATAAGATACTTATTGGAAAAGGGAAGGAGCACGTCAAGTACAAATGGTAATTATCAGATATGAAAAGGAGCACTTATGAGAATGAAAAAAGGGGCACTGATAATAAAGGAAAATGGGAACTAGACGAAGGAAAAGGGGCACGTGTCCAAATGAAAAGGAGACTTATCAGATGTGAAAAGGGAAAGGGGCACTTTTACAAAGTAAAAGGGGCACTTTTGGGGTACTTTTGGGGTACCCCCCCCCCCCCCTGCACACCCCACTGATGCGCCGCACAGTGGGCCAGGGGGGAACCAAAGTGCGTCCAAACTCTTTGTTGGTGATTTATTTATTTATTTATTTCTTGCCCGGTTGAAAGATAATACATTGAAAAATACCTCAGTAAAATATTTAATTCCGTATGAAAATAAGGGTATAAATTAACTCCTTCAAACAACAAAATCTTACATATTCACAGTTTTAGTGCAAAAGTGACATATTTTTCAATCTTTCAATTTAACATGAATTGTTTAAGTTATTGATATGAAATTTCTCCCACATACTCCTGATAGTTCATTTCACTGCATTAATGGGTTAAAAATTGATATAAACACAATGTTCATTTCCGCTTTAATTGTATTACCAACATTTGTTGATGTCTAAGCTTTAAGTTGATATCAGATTTGGCTGCGTTGGTTTGCGTTTTATTATGTTAGAGCCGATTTGCCTTGCAACATTGCCCCCCAAAAATGTGTTTATTTTGGTCCGCGGCTGAATCATGAAGGATTCGCGGTCATAAATCACGGTGCGTGGGGGCGAGTGACATTTGTTGCAAGGCAACGTTGCAAGGAAAACGGCTCTTACATAAATAACGGGCAGCATCGGGCACTAATTCAATAACTTCCTCCAAAAGTTATTCAAATATACAGGAAAAATTCTTACATGGAATAAAGCCTTCATGCTAACTTACACATCAAGTTTAAACGTTGATAAACAGGTAAATCGTAACCGGTATACGTTTATTCAATGTTACTTACCCCCAACTGCAATGTGAATGAGGGATGTCATCCAAAGAATGAAGATAAGCTGGACAACTGAGTGAGTTTTTCCGAAACACGTCGTCATTTTTATTCCGTTCATGCCACTGGGATTAAAATAAAAAATATGATGATGTAATACGATACAAATATTTCTAATACAATAATAATGACAATATTATCTTTAAAGTTTTCTTTTTTTAATTCTTCAATTTGTGAGCCCTCCACAGGTTATTTATAAATAATATTCACACAGATAAACAAATCAAATATATGTGCATGTTTAAACGCATTCAAAATATTTTTTATATACAAACAACAATTGTAGCAACTGCCACTTTACAGCAAAATGTCTTTTCATTCCAGACATATTGCTCCGGTTGTCTCATTTTCGCTCGCTGGACGTTTATAGCAGACGACAATCGGCGGATTTGACGACACTTGGTAGTGAATTTGTATGTGAGATTGCTTTGCTAAATATAAAATACATGAACATTTTCATATCTTTAAACTATCATTGATATCTGATAATTAAACAGTTATTAAAATAAACCTACCAAAACTACATAATACAATGAAATACTTGACTTAAAGTAGGGGAGTTTGATGTGGTGCACGGGGTGGTGCACAATTGCACCCCTTTGTAAATAATCGAATAGTCCATGGCGATCATGATTTTAAAGTTTTAGCTTACCTCGGCAAAAAGTTTGCTTATCTTCAATGGAAAAATTACGGTGGGGGGTTGGATGAAATGGACATAATGAACCAATCAGAACTGATGTATTATAATTCATGCTTCTTATCCTTCGTGTGCTTGACCTAAAACCTTACAATCACTTGGCAAACTGAGTCCAAAGTTCGACTTGTTTCACATGTGTTATGAAGGCAATGGCGAGCTTGCAACCTATTTTGATCAAATTACGGTGGGGGATCTTTCAAAAGTCAATGGTACATGAGGGTTCCAATGAAAGTGCTAGTGATAACGTACGTCGGGTTGGATGTGCGTTTCGTTTAAACAAAAAAAAAGATTTTTTTAACGATTTTTTTTTTTTTTTTTTTGGGGGGGGGAGGGGGGATTCCATAGGCTAACATGTTAGGCTGCTGACTCTGACGATAGGGGGCGTTGTCATATGAGACTAAACGGACATATATGATAGACTTACAATATATTTATCATCTTTATAATATTGTAAAACTTTCTTTTTCAACATATCAAAAAGCGGAACCATACTATTCAGTTTACAAATAAACATCTGTTGTTTAATTAATATAAAAATGCACTTTATGGCATCGTTTCTCCTATCTTCAAAGCCAAAAATTATATTTTGTAAAGTAAACAAAATTCGAATCATTGAGATTCTTCATAAATCGAGTTTAAGGTTTCATTTTCAGATTTTTCTACTAATCTCACGTTCATTAAAGAGATGTATTATATCTTCTATTTCTTTTTCACAAAATGTAATTTTCTCATTGTTTACTATTTAAATAAAGTTAATAATAATGATAATATATAAAATGTGGATTGGTATAGCACATTTTCCAGAGGATCCAAGGCGCTTTCCCCCATTCAACCAACAAAATAAGTAGAATAAATTGTAGAGGTATGAATTCAGATGTTTTTTGAAGCAAGTCAAGTGAAGCATTATTTATTATAAATGCAGGGAGTTTAATGGAGCAACGGATAGAAAGGGTTTGAATCCAGCATGTTTATATAAGTCAACATAAAAAATAAAAAACTCATCAGAATTTAATAAAATATATTTAATTAGAACAACAGCAGCAACTATTCATTTCATATGGAAGAAGTATGTATGTACAACTTAAATGGGAAGTCCGGTCTGATGTTGCTAGACTAACAGGGAGATTCGAGCAGAGATCGACGTGTTGACCTAGTGAAAGCCCTGGGCCTAATGCAAAGTTTTGGGACATTTTGACAATTGGCTGAATAGTGATTCTTGAAATTTTTGATATATTTGGATGACCCTGTGGATGTACTATAAGCACTTGAAAATTTAGCTCCTAAAACACTTCTGCTTTCGAGAAATTGAATATCAGCACATATACGGCCATTCAATGGTAGCTGCGACCATGAAAATCTCAGAATACACAGTTCTGATATATAATTTACAAACGGGAACAGCAATTCAGTCGATTTTAGTCAAGAAACGTTGTTTTAAAGCTAAAGTAATATCAATCTTGAGAGGGAGCTATACAACATAAAGATTTTATATTTACAATTTCATTACTTTAGACTCGATTTCAACCGCGACAATGATCATTGAATGTTGTAAAATCGCTCATTCTTCCTTCATGTTTATTTGATTCAAATTCATTACCCCATACCAAAACTTTACATTACCTTTAATGGTATTTTGACGGTATATAAGTACTAGATGAAACAATGGAATCCATACGAAAACAAAGTGGCAGTGGTAATCTAAAATTCTGCTTTATCTTCCTCTCCACTTTATTTTCTACATTGTTTGGGTCCCCCTTTATTTATTATTTCACTTTCTTCTCAATAATTTTCTTTTGACGGAGATTTTTTTTATGGGGACAACAGCCCCTAAGACGTACCCCCCCCCCCCCGGCCGGGCAAAACGCTAGTAAAAAAAAAAAAGCGATAGATAGAGAACGCATGTTGAAAAATGAAAATAACCACCTCGGACAATTCTCCCCTCCCCCGAAAAAAATATGCTCTAATCAAAACTAACTTAATATCAGGATGGACACCCCCTTTATGAACAGGGGGAGGGTGTAACTTTCGGGGGTGTAATTGTCCTCGGTGTGGTTGGCCTTAGGTTTCCTGGGGTGGGAGATTATCTACGGGAGGTAATTGCCTTAGATCATAGACGAAAACTATATACCCCAAGGACAATAACCCCTGGAAAAATACCCCCTGGAAAGATACCCCCCAAAGACAATCACCCCCACGTACAATTACACGTCTATGCTTAGATGGGATATTTCCTGGTGTAATTGTACGTGGGGGTGATTGTCTTTGGGGTTATCTTTCCAGGGGGTATTTTTCCAGGGGTTATTGTCCTTGGGGTGTATAGTTTTCTAGAGGATAATTTTCCGGAAGCTGAATGTCCAGAACGGGTGCAAAGCATTCTTAATTTCAAAAGTACGTTGAATTGGAAAAAAAATAGATCACCAAAAAAAATCAAATGATACATTAAAAAGGTTGTCAATACTCGCTCTCCGCTTTATAATCAGGCTTACATCCAGATAAACAAATCTTACATCAGGATCCAGGGGCTGAAGAGCCTAGGGGGGGGGGGGTTGGTTACTATCAGTTAGAAACTCCTACACTCTTGCAAGCACCAAACATTCTTCAACCACATTGTAAAACATGAAAGGAGGAAATTGAAGAGAACATTTCAAATGAGATCTCCTTCACAAATGCCTGCGACGAGCGGCTAAATGACCAGATACTAAAATAAAGT